CTCCTCCTCCTCCTCCTCCTCCTCCTCCTCCTCCTCCTCCTCTTCTCCACAAACCCAACTGCCTTCTAGCACTGCTGATGTTACTTAGTCGGGTCATGAAACGTCTGCAAGAAAGCCATCCAGCTCAGAGAGCACCAAGGACCCCCTCCACAGACTCACACACACACACACAATTCAACCTTGAGCCACAAATATTCTCTCCGTCAACTGCTTTATCGTTTTGCCCTCAACCGAGCCACTTCGCTTCCTATCCCGTTTTGCTTCCTCTTGTTTCTCCAGCTGAATTGTAGCTTGCAACCGTTCGCTTTCCTCCCTTCCGCAGGTACTACTACCCTAATGTCCGCGATCAGATGGTGGCCCGGGCGAGCTTGCCCCTCTCGCGCCTTTGTGCCATGGTTACCATGCAGCACCGTCAGGAAGTGGGGGTCCAGACCTTCCGCCTGCCGGTGATGCCGAGAATCGGCAGCTCCGGGGAACTTCATCCTCGGTCCTCAGGTAGGAGAAGGCTCCAGAGCTAAGGTGGGGGTTGATCCTGGCAAGAGAAGATAAGATGAGATAACCTTTATTGTCATTTTTTTACTGTGGGCACAATGGCACACATCAAAAATGAAATTTAGTTGCCCGCTCTCAAAGTGAAACACACACATGACACACACCTAAAACATACTCTACACAACATATGTATAGACCAGGGGTAGGCAACCTTGGCTCTTTTACGACTCGTGGATTTCAACTCCCAGAATTCTTCAGCCAGCATGAGGGGAACTATGGCCCCTTCATGACTCGTGGACTTCAACTCCCAGAATTCCTGAGCCAGCATGCGGGATCTATGGCCCCTTCATGATTGGTGGACTTCCAGAATTCCTGAGCCAGCATGGGGGAACTTTGGCCCCCTCATGACTAGCAGACTTCAACTCCCAGAATTCCTCAGCCAGCATGGGGGAACTATGGCCCCTTCATGACTCGGGGACTTCAATTCCCAGAATTCCTGAGCCAGCATGGGGGAACTCTAGCCCCTTCATGACTCGTGGACTTCAACTCCCAGAATTCCTGAGCCAGCATGGGGGAACTATGGCCCTTTCATGACTCGCGGACTTCAACTCCCAGAATTCCTCAGCCAGCATGGGGGAACTATGGCCCCTTCATGACTTGTGGACTTCAACTCCCAGAATTCCTGAGCCAGCATGGGGGAACTATGGCCCCCTTCATGACTCGTGGACTTCAACTCCCAGAATTCCTCAGCCAGCTTGGGGGAAACCTGGGCCCCTTCATGATTCGTGGACTTCAACTCCCAGAATTCCTGAGCCAGCATGGGGGAACTATGGCCCCTTCATGACTGGTGGACTTCAACTCCCAAAATTCCTGAGCCAGCATGGCTCAGCTTGGAAACCTCTCCTTTCCCCTTAGCATGGCTGACTCAGGAATTCTGGGAGTTGAAGTCCCACGAGTCATAAAAGAGCCAAGGTTTTGCCTATCCCTGATCTAGGGTCTCCTGCTTGAGCATGGGGTTGGACTAGAAGACCTCCAAGATCCCTTTCACCTTTGTTATTCTGTACAGGTAGTCCTCAACGTAGAACCATTTAGTGACCATTCAGAGTTACAATAGGATTTTAAAAAATGGTTTATGACCATTTTTCACACTTGACCGTTACAGCATCCCTGTGGTGAAGTGATCAAAATTCAACCGCTTGGCAACCGCCTCATATTTATGACGGTTGCCGTGTTTCCGGGGTCCCGTGATCCCCTTTTGCGACCTTCCGACCAGCAAAGTCGAGGAGGAAGCCGGATTCACTTAACAACCGGGTTGCTAACTTAACAATTGTTCAGTGATCCACTTAACCTCTGTGGCACGGAAGGTCGTAAAATGGGGCAAAACTCACTTAACCAACATTTAGCGTACAAACAGAAACTTTTGGGCTCCATCGTGGACGTAAGTCGAGGACTGTCTGTATTTAGCAACCTGCCTTCTTCTCTCCCTGTGTTCTGTCCCAGCCCATGTAAGTCCTTGTTAAGCTCTTCCAACAAGCAGGCTGGAACCGCAGGAAAAAAACAACCCCCTTTTACTATTCACAGACCTGAGTCCATGTCCAAGGCAAACAAACACAGTTCACAGAAACCCGATTCCGCAACACAAATGGCTGCCTTCGGCCACCAGCACCTCCCACACTTTCCCTTTTATAATTCAGCCCAGGCGTGGCTTCCTAATGCCTTCTCCTTTGCCTTTGGAGCTGCCCCATTGCATTCCTCTGTCCTACTCTCTTCTCGTGCATCAGGGATTTGTCCCAGCTGTTCTTCATCACTGTCCAACTCAGGCTCCCAGCACAGCTGTGTCTCAGCCTGAGCGCGAGTAGAGGGGCCGGGCTCCTGATCAGACTGTAAGTCTGGGAACTCCTCAGAGCCTTCCTCTGACTCTAATGTCTCTCCAGGCCCCTCCTCCTCCTCTGATTCCCCAGACTCAGCTGCCGAGTCCACCGGCTAGCGAGGGATCACAACACCCTGTCCTTTTTTTCCAGGTTTGCTGCAAGTGAGCGTAAAGTACCGACAGGCTTTGAAAGGGAACGAAAGCCTGCTAGAGGCTCAGACCGTTTCCCTCTCTGTCCAAATCCACGCAGCGGCCGGATTGCAAGCAGCGGCCAGGTAAGGAGGAGTTGGAAGCTCAATACAGAGGCTCCTCGACTTACAACGGTTCACTTAGTAACGGTTCGAAGGTACAATAGCACTGGAAAAAGTGGCTCCTTATCGTTTTTCAACCTTACGACCCGTTGCAGCCTCCCCGTGGTCATGTGATCAAAATTCAGACGCTTGGCAACTGACCCGTATTTACGACGGTCGCAGCATCCCAGGGTCACGCGAGCGTCCCCTTTTGTGACCTTCTGACAAGAAAATTCAGACGGGGAAACTGGATTCTCTTAGCGACCAGTTACCAACTTAACAGCAATGATTCACTTAACGACATGCGACCACGATGGCACCCAAAATTTCTCTTGTGGGGATGCTGCGACGGTCGTAGGCGTGGAAATGGTCATAAGTCACGTTTATCAGCGCTGTTGTAACTTCGAAGTGACCGTGGTGTTGTCACAACATCGTAAGTGCGAAAAACGTTCATAAGTCTCTCTTTCTACGAGCGTTCGTCACTTGGAACGGTCACTAAACGAGTGGATGTACGTCGGGGACGACCTGTACAAATAAATACATTAAAAATACAAATGTTTTCTTCTCGTCGCTTAGGGCGGTGGCCGAAAAGCACCCTCCGTTCCAATACAGTGCGGAAATCGGGCTCAACACCTACGTGTCGATACACCTCCCCTTCCTTCCGGAGGCCGAGCGGCGCAGGACGAGAACCGTGGCTCGCTCGTTCTGTCCCGCGTTCGGGCACCACGCGGAGCTCCCCTGCCCTCTCGTGGTCCAGAGGAGCAGCGGAGAATCCTGCTGCCTTGGGGAACTCCTGCAGCGGTCCGAGGTGGTGTTCCAGCTCTATCACCAGCCCCTGAACCCAGGTGCGACAAACGAAGTGGGTCCGGTTGTCGAACCGCACAACTTAGCCCCAAAGCTGGGTGGCCTGGATTCATCGATGGTGAACCTTGCGGTATACAGGCAGTCCTCTATTTGCAACAGTACATTTAGTGACCAAAGTCACAGCGGCAGTGGAAAGGAACGGCTCGTGACCTGTGTTTCACGCTTAACGACCCTTTCATCCTCCCCAGAGTCACGTGATCAAAATTCAGATACTTGGCAGCTGACTCGTATTTACGACGGTTGCTGTGTCCCCAGGGGGGGGGTTATGTGATCCCCTTTTGCGAGCTTCTGACAAGCAAGATCAATTGGGGGAAGTCGGATTCGCTGAACAACCCCGTGACTGAATTAACAACTTAACAACGGTGGCAAGAAAAGTCGTAAAACGGGGCAAAACTCACTTAGCAACAGAAAGCTTGGGCCCAGTTGCGGTCGTAAGTCGAGGACCGCCTGTCCTTTAGAGCAACTTTCCTTCCCTTGATTGAAATACGAGAGGAGACATTTGCAGAGAGGGCTCTGCTTGGTTGGCACTACCTGGCCCATGTGGCACTGCCAAGGGCTCTTAATGGTTTCAGTTCCCCCTAGCTGTCATGTCAAGGAATACAGGTAGCCCTCGACTTAACGACCACAATTTAGCCCAGAATTTATGTTGCGAAGCGAGACGTTTGTTGAGTTTCATCCCATTTCACGACCTTTTTTGCCGCATATATGAAGAGAATCCCTGCGTTGTTAAGTTAGTGAAACGGTCGTTAAGTGAATCCGGCTTCCCCCATTGACTTCGCATGTCGGAAGGTCGCAAAAGATGTGACCCCGGGATGCTGCAACTGTCATAAGTACGAGTCAGTTGCCCAGTGTCCAGATTTTGATCACATGACCGCGGCATGGATGCTGTGACGGTCATAGGGGTGAAAATGGTGGTCAGTCACTTTTTTTGGCGCTATTGTAACTTCGAAGTGTCACTGAACGAACGACAGTAAGTCGAGGGCTCCCCGTAGTGTCATCTTCAGGCTGGGGTCTTCGGCTTCGTGCTTGTGGGAGCAAAGTGTGATCGGAGCTGCCGTCTCTCCATAAATATTGGTGGGGGTGTGTGGAGTGCTGGCTTTGTTGCTGTAGGTGGGTTGGTTGGCTGTGTTGGAGTTATTGTTTGTGGATTGTTTGGCTGTTTCGTAACATCCTGAGTAGCTGAGGTGCTGGCTGTGTGCCCATTAGTCTTTTGTGTTGTAACGACCTGGGTAATGGGCTGTGTGATGATCTCCTGAGATCTAGTGTAGTGATATCCTGAGTTCTGTGTTGCAACATCCTGGGTGGTTGGCTGTGTTGTGACATCCTGGGCTTTTGCGTTGTAACCTCCTGAGTTCTGTGATGTGATGTCCAGAGCAGAAGGCTGTGATGTAACATACCGGGCTTTGGTTTGGCTCCGAGTTTGCGGTCTAGCTCTGTGTTCATGGCGTGTGTCCGTTTGCTTTGTGTGGGGGTCGGAGGGAGGTGCAGCAGCTCCTCAAGTTACAACCGTAACGGATCCTGCCAATTATGGCAGGGCAATGGTGACAGCCGTAAAACGAGCCGTCGTGTGACCGAGTTGATTTTGCAGCGGTTGTTAAGCAAAGGGTGCGGTCGTTCAGCGGACTCGGTGTTTGCTCGGGAGCGTTTTTGCCCCGAACCGGACGTAAATGACGGTTTTCAACGAAACCATCATCCGTAGTGGTCCCGTGACCGCAAGATGCACGAGGACAGGTATAAATTCAGACCCCGGTTGCCGTGCACCCGGTCAGGTGGCTGTGGAATTCTGGGAGTTGAAGTCCAGATAGTAGCCAAGTTTGGAGAGCTCTGCTCTAGATTGATGCCTTCTGGGGGGAGGTGAATTCCAGTTATGATGATGGGAAATTTACGTAATCATTGTTACTTACTCCTGCAGCTCCAAGGGAAACTCAAACTTTGAAAGATTGCCTGCTGGGAACCGTAAGCGTTCCTGCCAAAGACCTGTTAATTCGAAGATCAGGTAAAGACACCACGTTACACCGTCTCCTCTACACTTGTCACAAGCCTGGTGTGGCAACTTGGTACAAGGGAGCATCTGAGGCCGGGAGGGTCTTGGCATACGATACCCCCGGTGCACCAGATACGCCCTGCGTCGTTATTATGTATTTAATTTGCATCAAGTCTTTATTATTTTTTACAAATAATTGCCTACTTGGGTCATGAAACCTCTGCAAGAAAACCACCAAGCTCGGGGAGCAGCAGAGAGCCCCTACTTCAACGCTCAGCTACAGATAATTCTCTTCCGTTGTGTTGTTTTGTTTAATTAAAACCTGTGTTGTTTTGTTTAATTTGTGTTGCTTTTAAGAATTAGTCCAGGCGGCCTGGGTGGTTTTGTGTTTTGCCTTTTTTTTTAAAAAAAAAAATGGATTGTTTTGTGGTTTTCTACCCCACTCAAAGTTCCTCAAAGTTGGACAACGAATACAAGTTGGAACAAATAAGTAAATAAGTGATGTAGCATGAAAGATAGATCTTCCTTCCTTCCTTCCTCCCTCCCTCCTTCTTTCTTTCTCTCTCTCTTTTCTTTCTTCCTTTCTTTCTTTTCTTTCCTTTGTTTCCTTCTTCCCTCCCTCCCTCCCTCTTTCTTTCATTCTTCCTTTCTTCCATCCTTTCTCTTTCTTTTCCTTCCTTTTGTTTCCTTTCTCCCTCCCTCTTTCTTCCTTCCTTCCTTTTTCTTTCTTTCTTTCCTTTCTTTTCTCTCTCTCTCTCTTTCCTTTCCTTCTTTCTTTTTCTTTCTCTTTTTTTCTCTCTTTTCCTTTCTTCCTTCCTTCCTTCCTTTCTCTTTTTTTTCCTTCCTTTGTTTCCTTCCTCCCTCCCTCTTTCTTTCTTTTTTCTTTTTTCTCTTTTCCTTCTTTCTTCCTTCCTTCCTTCCTCTCTTTTTCTTTCTTTCTCTTTCTCTCTTTTCCTTTCTTCTTCCTTCCTTTCTTCCTTCCTTTCTTTTTTCCTTCCTTTGTTTCCTTCGTCCCTCCCTCCCTCCCTCCTTTCTTTTTTCTTTTTTTCTCTTTTCCTTCTTCCTTCCTTTCTCCCTCTTTCTTTCTTTCTTTCTCTTTCTCTCTTTTCCTTTCTTCTTCCTTCCTTCCTTCCTTCCTTTCTCTTTTCCTTCCTTTGTTTCCTCCCTCCCTCCCTATTTCTTTCTTTCTTGTTCTCTTTTCCTTCTTTCTTTCTTCCTTCCTTCCTTTCTCTTTCTTTTCCTTCCTTTGTTTCCTTCCTTCCTTCCTTCCTCCCTCCCTTTTCTTTCTTTCTTTCTTTCTTTCTTTCTTTCTTTCTTTCTTTCTTCCTTTCATCAAGAACTCATTCTCTTTGTGTTTCCTTTATAGGTCTCAGAGGTTGGTACCCCGTCATCCTCCCAGAGGATCTCTCCGCATCGCAATGTACAAATGTCCTGCAAAGCGTCGTTGGAGGCTTGGATCTTTCCGTTGCATTTGTTCACCCCGGAGACCGAGAGCGTGTTCTGGAGACTGCACATCTACTAGGCTGGAATTGGAAGGAACCCTACTCTGATGGTCTGCCGGAGGACAGCGAGAGCGAAGGCCACTCCCCTTCAACACCGGTCCGTGTGACTCTTTCTACTCCTCGGCTGTGGCTACCGCTACAGAGCATGCTACTCGCAGGACAGACCCACTTAAATAAAAGTGTCTATTGCTACCTTCGCTATAAACTGTACGATCAAGAAGCCGCTTGGACCTCACTTAGGAGGCCGAAAAGAACAGAAGGCGAAAAACACGTGACTGTGACGTTTAAGAATCCCAACCATATGGAGCTCCGGTCCAGTCCGGCCTTATTCTGGTATTTCAGGGAAGAAAAACTGGAACTCCAGGTGTGGCGAGCTTACGGCAAAGACGGTGATACGGAAAGACCGCGGGATACCGATCGCTTGATCGGCTCAGCGTACGTGGACCTGGCGTCGCTGGCAGACAGGCCACGAAAGAAGAGAGCAGTCAGTGGTATGTTTATAGCCGTTTTAAAGGTAGTCACTAGACTGGTTCTGGATCTGGAAAGCGCAGGTAATCCTCAACTTAACAACCAGAATTTCTGCTGCTAAGCAAGACAGCTGAGAGTTCTGCCCCGTTTTACAGCCTTTCTTGTCACCATTCTTAAGCGAATCACTGCAGTTGTTAAGTTAGTAACACAGTTTGTTAAGCGAATCTGGCTTCCCCCATTGGCTTTGCTTGTCCGAATTCTGATCGCGTGGCCATTGGGATGCCGCGACAGTCGTTAAGTGTGAGAAACAGCCCTAAGTCCCTTTTTTTTCAGTGCTGTTGAAACTTTGAACGATGGCAAGCAAGGTTGTAAAATTCACTTAACGACTGTGGAAATTTTGGACTCAACTGTGGTCAGAAGTCAAGGACTACCTCAGTGGTGGCGAACCTATGGCACGGATGCCAGAGGCGGCACTCAGAGCCCTCTCTGTGGGCACATGCGCCGTCGCCCCAGTCCTAGGCCTTCAGCTGGGTTTTATAAAACCTTTTCGCTTTAGGCCTCTGCTGCCATGTGCAAAAAAAAAAGGTTCAATCAATCAATCAATCAATCAATTTCAACTTCTCGCGGGGGAAAAAAAAGATCTTGCAAAGTTGGAATTCATTGAACTTTTTAGTCCCACCCAGTCTGCCGCTACCACCGCAGCCAAGCCCGCCCAATAGGCCATGCTCACCCAATGGGCCACGCTCAGCCAATGGGCCACGCCCACCCGGCACCCGACGATACATAAGTGGGTTTTGGGTTGCAGTTTGGGCACTCGGTCTCTAAAAGGTTTGCCATCATTGGACTACCTGTAAAAGTTGGTTCAATTTAAGGTAGATCCTACGGCACCGTGAACCAACGGCAAAGTCAACCTGTGGTTGGTTCCTCCTTCGAAAACCAAGCAGCATCTTCTCAGAGCGACGAGATCTGCGATTTTGAACGAGCCTCACTTCCTCCCCTTGTGCGCAGGTGTCTTTCCCTTGTTCCGACGAAACGCTGCCAACCTGGGGGGAGCCGGGCTCCGCATTCACATTGCGGTGACACCTGCTGGTCCATCGGGCGAGCCTGGGAACTCCGAAGATGACCGGGATAGCAGCAACAGCAACAGCGTTGAAGAAAAGAAGGCAGCAGAACAGCAACCGGAAGTCCGCACGGAGGCGAATCCTTCCGCCGACGAGCTCCTCCAGGAGAAACCAGCTGTGAGTGATCTGGAGAACACGTTCGCGGCGAGCATTCTCGTGGAAAGAGCCATGCACCTAAGCTTAAAAGGTAAGCCGGTTGCCAGTCCTGCCTCGACTTGAACCTTTAGGCGAGGACGATCCTTGACTCCATTCGTTTACGTATCGTATACTAAAGGTCAAGTGGAATAATAATAATAATAATAATAATAATAATAATAATAATAATAATAATAATAATAATAATAATAATAATAATATAAATAAAAAGTGGGAAGGGACCTTGGAGGTCATCTAGTCCAACCCCCTGCTCAGGCAGGAAACCCTGTACCATTTCACACAAATGGCTGTCCAGTTTCTTAGAATAGAATAGAGCTGGGAGGGACCTTGGAGGTCATCTAGTCCAACCCCCTGCTCAGGCAGGAAACCCTATACCATTTCAGACAAATGGCTGTCCAGTTTCTTAGAATAGAATAGAGCTGGGAGGGACCTTGGAGGTCATCTAGTCCAACCCCCTGCTCAGGCAGGAAACCCTATACCATTTCAGACAAATGGCTGTCCACTCTCTTCTTAAAGACTTCCAGCATTCACCGCTTCTGGAGGCAGGTTGTTCCACTGGTTAATTATTCTCACTGTCAGGAAGTTTCTCCTTAGTTCTAGGTTGCTTCTCTCCTTGATGAGTTTCCACCCGTTGCTTCTTGTCCTGCCTTCAGGTGCTTTGGAGAAGAGCTTGACTGCCTCTTCTTTGGGGCAGCCCCTGAGATACTGGAAGACTGCTATCATGTCCCCCCTCGTCCTTCTCTTCATTAAACTGGACATACCCAATTCCAGCAACCGTTCCTCATATGTTTTAGCCTCCAGTCCCCTAATTCTCTTTGTTGCTCTTCTCTGCACTCTTTCTAGAGTCTCAACATCTTTTTTACATTGTGGTGACCAAAACTGGATGCAGTATTCCAAGTGTAGCCTTACCAAGGCCTTGTAAAGTGGTATTAACACTTCACGTGATCTTAATTCTATCACGTGATAGGATTACAGTAAAGCAAAGATTACAGTAAAGCAAAGGCAGAACTGAGATTCGCCTACCAAGTCCCTAGGTGTAACTTTTCCCCTCCCAGACACTTCCCATTGCTGGTCCCCCCATCGCCCAATCAAACAAGACGTTTTTGAAACAGTCACTCTGCGTGTAAGCTGTCTTGCAGCTGCAGATCGTGGCATCCTCAGAGGCCAGTTCGGAGGAGGAGGAGGAGGAGGAGGAGGAGGAGGAGGAGGAGGAGGAGGAAGAAGAAGAGTTGGAGCACTTATTTCCATCAATTTCACTTTCTCCTCCCCCCCAGGGACCCTGGCAGACTGGCATTGAACAATTGCGAAGCACAGGTGTGAGAGTGACAGTTCTGACAGCAGACTTCTGGATTGATAGCTGTCAGTGCCCTCTGCAATCCTCCAACTAGGACAGGGGTAGGCAATCTTGGCTCTTTTATGACTTGTGGACTTCAACTCCCAGAATTCCTGAGCCAGCTATGCTGAGGGAAAAGGGAGAGGTTTCCAAGCTGAGCCATGCTGGCTCAGGAATTGTGGGAGTTGAAGTCCACGAGTCATGAAGGGGCCATAGTTCCCCCATGCTGGCTGAGGAATTCTGGGAGTTGAAGTCCCCGAGTCATAAAGGGTCCATAGTTCCCCCATGCTGGCTGAGGAATTCTGGGAGTTGAAGTCCACGAGTCATGAAGGGGCCAAAGTTTCCCCCATGCTGGCTGAGGAATTCTGGGAGTTGAAGTCCACGAGTCATAAAGGGTCCATAGTTCCCCCATGCTGGCTGAGGAATTCTGGGAGTTGAAGTCCACAAGTCATGAAGGGACCAAAGTTTCCCTCATGNGGGGCCATAGGTCCCCCATGCTGGCTGAGGAATTCTGGGAGTTGAAGTCCACGAGTCATGAAGGGGCCAAAGTTTCCCCCATGCTGGCTGAGGAATTCTGGGAGTTGAAGTCCACGAGTCATAAAGGGTCCATAGTTCCCCCATGCTGGCTGAGGAATTCTGGGAGTTGAAGTCCACAAGTCATGAAGGGACCAAAGTTTCCCTCATGCTGGCTGAGGAATTCTGGGAGTTGAAGTCCACGAGTCATGAAGAGGCCATAGTTCCCTCATGCTGGCTGAGGAATTCTGGGAGTTGAAGTCCATGAGTCATGAAGGGGCCATAGTTCCCCCATGCTGGCTCAGGAATTCTGGGAGTTGAAGTCCATGAGTCATAAAAGAGCCAAGGTTGCCTATACCTGGCCTAGGACATAATCCCCATCCTAACCTAATCTTTTTTTTCTTTACGCTGTGGCCTTCAAATTCATCATACGGGCTTTAATAATGTTTTAGAAAAATCGGAAAAACTCTTAATATATTCAGATAAGCCTTAAAAGAGGCATGTCCAACTCGTGGCCTACAGTTCATATAATTTTTTTAAAAAAACAACCTAAAGGAGCTTTGTTATTTATATACGTTAGCTATATATCATATTCAGATAGTCTCCGACTTACAACAATTTGTTTAATGACTGTTCAGAGTTCTGACATCACTGAAAAAAAGTGACTTAGGCCTGTTTTTCACACTTACGACCGTTGCATCATCCCTGTGGTCACGTGATCAAAATTCACACGCTTGGCAACTGACTCGTATTTATGACGGTCGCAATGTCCCAGGGTCACGTGATCCCCTTTTGCGACCTTCTGACAAGCAAAGTCAATGGGGGAAAAGCCAGATTCACTTAACAACCGTGTGCCTAACAACTGCAGTGATTCACTTAACAATTGTGGCAAGAAAGGTTGTAAAATGAGGCAAAACTCACTTAAATGTTTCGCTGAAGCAACAGAAATTTTGGGCTCAATTGCGGTCATAGTTTTATTTATTTATTATTCCAATTTGTATCCCGCCCTTCTCCCGAAGGACTCAGGGCGGCTCACAACATTATTAAAACAAAGAAAGACCCACACACCCCACCGAATAAAACCAAATTAAAACCAAAATTTTTGTGTTGTGATAATTAAAATTTCTAAAAAACCCAATTTAAAAATCCTCCCTAGGCCAGGCCCGCTTGTT